TGGGGCCAGCCCCGTGGCTTAGTGGTTGAGTGGGCGCGCTCCGCTGCTGGCAAGCTGGGTTCGGATCCCAGGCACGCACCGATGCACCGCTTGTCAGGCCATGCTGTGGCGGTGTCCCATATAAAGTAGAGGAAGATGGGCACGGATTTTAGCCCAGGGCCAGTCTTCCTCAGCAAAAAGAGGAGGATTGGCATGGATGTTAGCTCAGAGCTGACCTTCCTCACAAAAAAAAAAAAAAACAAAAAAAGAAAAAGAGTCTGAGCTTAGGAGCCTGGGTCAGATCCCGCCTCCAAGTTAGTAGCTGTGTGACCCTGGACAAAGTCACTGAGCTTCGTGAGGCTCTGTTTCCTCACGAAGATAAATGTAAGAATAGTACCCGCCCCACAGTGTTGGGGCCAGAATTCAATGAGATAATTATATTCAAAACTCAGCACAACTCCTGGGAGAGAGCAAGCACCCAATAAACGTTGGTGTTTTCAGCGTTAATGATAGTATTATTTTAAAAAGGAAATCTTACTTATAACTAAATGCACCAGGTTTCAGCTTCAGAGTCACCGCTGTGTGACCTTGGACACGTCATGCCCTCTCTATGCATGAGACTCAAGTTTCCTCATCTCTAAGAAGAGTTCTTAATTTAAAACTGCACTGATGTGAGAGCTTTCCCTTCACATGGACGCAAGTGAGGATGCTTCTTCTTTAAAGGAAATGAACTCTGTATTATTGAGTATTTCTATGCGCCCAGAAGGCACCATGGTGAATACAGCGAGTGCAGGAGCAGAGGAGGACCAGGGAAGGGTGGGGAGTGCAGCTGCTGGGACGAGCTTTGGAAAAGAAGAGAGCCTGGGAGCAGATGCAGAGGTGGCACCTGAGATGTTCCCCTGTGCTTCTTCATGTAGAATGTCTTGTGGTCCCTGCCCTCCCCACTCCGTTTCCCTTCTTCCCACCTTTGTACACACTGGGGCCTGACTTCCTTCTCCCTGGTTCCTCCTCCTGACACTAACAGGCCTTTGCTGCCTGGATTCACCAATCACCTTGTGGGTTTTGAGGGCAGCCCCTGCAGCTCTGTGGTGAGAGTTGGGAGGGCTGCAAGGAGGAGGAAGCCCCCCATGTCATGTTGCTGAGAGGAGACTCCTCTGATGACAATGCAGATGCAAGAGATGGCCTGTGATTATATCTTCCTCTCCCTGAGCTGGGCAACATGTGGACCTGGGTCAAGACAACAGGCATTTGGAAGCTTGAGCCCTGACAGGCAGCTGACCTTTCTGGATTACATAGGCCTGTGTTTACCATTGAGTAATGATGTATTTTCAATCGAGTCTCAGAGCCAAGAGAAATAGCTCCTTCTGCCTAATAATCAAGACTAGTGAAGAATGGAGGGCACTTTGAATGACAGGGGGAAATGGAGTGAGGAGACAGGGACCTGGTATTTATTAGGCACTTTGTGTGCCAGATTTTGCAACACACGCATACACACACCTTATATATATATATATATATATATATATATATATATATATATATATATATATATATATAGTTATATATATATATATATATATATATTGTCTTTACCTCTTTTAAAGATCAAAAGTCCTCTCAGAGTTCTCTCTACTTCACACAGGAGGAGACAGTAACTCCTAGGGTTACACAGCTTCTTAATCACCCAAGTCTTTCTGACTCCAAATCCCAAGCTCTTTCCCTACATGGCACTGTTTATGCCTTTTCCTTCCACACTCTCATTCACCAGATTTCAGATCCAAATGTGAATATTACAGGGCTCAGGTCTAGGAACAGGGACAGGTATCGTCTCTTTTTCCCCCCCTAATTTTCATAGAACTATCTAGAATTCCTCATTTGGTTACACTACCTGAAATGCAAACAAGTAGAGATTCCCTTGGGTAAATAAACCTCCTGCCATGTTCCGACGCACGGAAAACCCCGTATCTGAGAATCATAACTTTTATTCCTCCTTCCACCTTGCACAGAATCCTCAAGCTTTCTTTTATTACAGGTTGACAGAAATGGTGATCCTGATTTTATGTATAAGTTTTCATTTTTCCTTTTGCAAAGATATTTGGAAGGACATTCATTTTACAAGATGATTCTGTGAAACGTTTGGTCATTAAGGATAGGTCTATTCAACCTTGGCCACAATCGGGAAGGCCAGCCTCTGTATGAGCGGCAGACTGACAACACCAGCCTCTATATGAGCAGCAGACTGACTGACCAAACTCATTTCTTCTTCCTGAGAACACAGCAGATTATAGGTCCCAGCTTTCCTTGCTGGTAGCTATGGCCGTGTGACTGAGTTCTAAGCAATGGAATGTGAGCAGCAGTGATGTGCACCACTTCTGGGGCAATGCCTCTGATTCCTCTCCCCCACCCCTGCACAATCCTCCATTCTCACCTTCCTGTTGCTTGGCTCAAGCACATACATAGGCAAATGGTCCTGGAAGCCAAGTGTTGAAGTTGGTGAATACAACAAGATAGGAGCCTAATCACCAAATTTCCACCTGGAGAAAAGCTGCTTGGTGTTCAAGACCCATTTAGGATTTCATACCAGGGAGGAATAAACCTCAATTGAGTTAAGCCATTAAGATTTAAGGAGTTTATTTTTTGTAGCAGATAATTCATACAATGTGAAGTCTAATTAGTCCTATCACTTTTGAAAAATCCGTTGGATCTCTTGCTCCAATCCATCACCCCTAACCCCTCCCACACGCTGCATTCCTAAAGAGAGTGGATACTTTTACAAATTCTAATTTCTTGCAGTCACTATTAATTTTTCCTGAATAATAGTGGTCGTTATGGAATACTACATTCTTATTTATTTAAGGAGTGCCAGCTGATGCTGTAATTCAGAAGTAATTTTATTCTTTCCTTACAGGCTGGTGAGGCTCAAGGACTTAGGGGTTACACCATTGTGCATTTGATTGGCAGAGAAGGGGCAATATTTGAGAGCCCTGGGCTTTCAGCCTGAGCTTGAAAATGTGAAGCTCAATGAAGAGGAGGAAAAGTGGGAAGGTGGACAAATGACTTGAAGTTGGACCAGCTTGTAATAAATATAGATTTCTGGGCCACCAGTGACTTTGCATTGCATGGATCCAAATACACCAGTCAGAACGCAGCTGCCTCCCCAGGCAGCATCATGTAGCATTTGGACTCCAGGGACATTGCAAGCCACTGTCAGGTGAGACGATGCTGTTCTCACAACCCACCCTTGGAGGTCCCCTCTTCAAGTCTCAAAGTTTCGGGAGGAGCCGAGACTCATAGCCTCTATTTGAGGGACTGGTTAATCAGCTTGGCACAGAGACTGTACAATTGATCCTGGTCTTTCAAGCTCTTGGTCCTGCAAATGTTGACCAAGATCCTGTAAAAAGTCACTAACCAAGTGTTAGGAAACCCTTTAGTGTCAATTCCTAAGGTCCCCAATAGGAAAAAGAGGGGGTTTAGGAGCCGTGAAAATTTGGATTTAAATGCAGGTTCTACTAGATCATGGGAATGTGATCTTGACAATTAATCTCTCTAGTTTTCTTCATCAAGATTTAGAGGCTCAGAATGCTCAACTCCTGGGGCTGTTGTAAGAATAAGGAAATAATGTTGGGAAATTATCTAACACCTAATAATATATCAAATAAAATATTTTCTTTCTCCTTTAGATGCATTCCTTATCCTCAGTTAGGTTTTAACTCCCAAAGGTAAGAGGCTATTCTTTACAACCTCTATGGAGCACTGGTACTGTGAATAGAACCACAATTTAGTTATCGCATGGGCATCATCCCCCAGACCAGAAGCCCAACAGGGCCCTCAGCTACTATACTAGCTCCTGACATCATTGTGTTGGAGTGTGCTAGCATTCCGAAGTTCCTTGTGCTCTGCTTGGAGGATTCCAGGATAAGAAGACAATCAGGCTACATGAGTCGCATTAGCCAAGTTCCAGTGTGTGGTAGACTAGAGGAGGCTTGGCTGGACTGCTGGAGTGAGGGCAGGTGGGGGTTGGAGCCTACCTCAAGCCAATCAACCCCCTAAGCCAATCAAGAGGGAGGCATGCTCCCTGAGGAGAGAATGGGGCTGGGCAGGGGTGAGGAAGCAGAGAAGCAGGTATAGACACACAGCATGTCTGGGATTTCAGCTGTGGGTTGGATGGTAGCTAGATTGAAGTATGGAGTCAAGGCATAGTTGTGTGACAGTTGTGGAGTGATCCAGGAGCAAGGGAGACATCTGTGATACTGAAGGTAATAATTAGAGAAGTGAATTCCTTGATTGAATAAGAAGGGGTATTATCCAAAATGTAAGTGGAGGGGTTGGACTTAAATAGGAGGAGAGATCATTTTTTCCCATTATTACAGAGGATAAAGGACAGTCAATGGGTACAAATAGATAGGGATAGAAGAGGAGGGAATTTTTGCAGACTTGCAACTACTTTCTCAATGAAGGATGTGGTGAGATAGCCGGTGAGACCTGCATGGTGGAATTTAGAGTGAGATGGAGATTTGAGGAAAGAGAAGAAGTATGAAATAGTCATATTGGAGGGTAGTAAGTAAATTTTCTAGGGAAATGTGGTGAGATTTCCAGGCAGTATTGAGTGCCTGGGCTGGTCTTTGGCTTAGGAGAAGGATGAAATAGATGGGATGGAGCCAAGTCACCAGAGCCAACCCCAGTTGAATCAGCCAACCTCAGATGCATGAGTAAGTCTAGCTGAGATCAGCAGAGTTTCCCAGTTGAGCCCAGCCTAGAATCTGTGACCCCCAGATAACTCACACACCTGGGAGAATGTTATTTTAGGCCAATGAGTTTTGGGGTAGTTTGTTATACGTTGTTATCGTGACTATAAATATCTGATATAAGAAGTAAGAATAAGGGGGACAGAGAGGATATGAGAGGAGATGGATAATGGAAAAGAGACAAGTTCCATGGGTTCGGGTTAAATACTTGTTGGAGGTGGAGGTACTAACGTAAGTGAGCTAGAATCTTACATAGAAATAATGACTCAGGTTGGATAATGCCACAGAAATGATTTTATTCAGAAGAAGGATAATTTTGGAAGCAGTTACCCCATGATTCCTCAAACAATTGCCAGAACTGAACATTTAAGCCAAAGTTATTTTAGATCCTCGTCCTGTGGTACTGGGGTTCCAGGAATAGAGAGCAGCCAGGAGAAGATAGTAGGAAAGCCCAATGCCAGTTATTGGAATAAAGATGACATTTGGGAGTGGTCACTGAAGGAGGCTAAGATTCATCAATCATCCAAGCATCCAAAAAAGTCTTCCTCCTACAACACAAGGCAATCATGACAGTTTCCAGAAACGCCTGCTCTTTGCTACCAATCACATGCCACCCAGACTTTGGTGAACACAGGTGTTGGTGGGGTCCCTTCTGTGCTGTAAAGGCCAACAGGACCTATGCTTCCCACAAGCAGCTCTCTATCTTATACTCACGTCTTAAACAGCGGTTTGGCAGGTGTGGCCACAACCGTTGCTGCAGCATTTTTGTCCACTGGGACAAGAATCATCTCCGCTACACAATTCAACACAAGTTCCAAAAGTTCCTGGAGGCAGCCTTGGACAACTTCCGGGACTTGATCCATCTGAAAAACAAAATAGTGTTTCCAGAACCCATACTGGCTCTGTAGAGGGAGTGGGACCTGGTGTTGAGAGAGAGCTGAGGTGCCTTGGTCCCTGGCGGACCTTTAGCCTCTTCCCTTCTTGACACCCGCAATCTTCCCCCCTCTCAACCTTGAATGCACACGGTACTGTTTTGTCCATGGGAAAACATACCAATGGCCAGCAGCCGCAGCATCCTGGGAGAAGAGGAGATCACACTGCTGCTAACCCCCTTCTTGTTTCTTCTGGGACTAGATAATTAAATCCTAGATCACAAATGGAGCCAACCTCTCACCAATTCTGTGTGCCTTCAGGTGGCAATTAACACTGAGTCCCACAGCCTGCTCCTGCTCCCTGCCTCAAAGAGAACCCTGATCCTGTAATTTTCCTCCCCATTCCTGACTGCCAATCCCTCCCACCCTGTTCTCTCTCCAGAGGTAACCCCTACTATAATTTCTTGGGTTTCCTTCTCGAGATAGTCTTTCTCTCTCTCTCTCTCTCTCTCTCTCTCTCTATCATTTACATGTGTGTGTATTTTGATAATATTCCGAAAATATTTTAACTTAATGTTTAGATAAATGTCAAGACCATTTGGGACGTATATTTGGCCTGAAACATATTTGGTTAAATTTAGATACATAGGCTGTTTTCTGATCTTCTCTTTGTATAATTCTTTTGTATCTGTTTTATTGATGTTCTTTGTTTTAACATATGACATATAATTTTATACTAATTGCAGAGATGAGAAATTAAAAATTTGCACTTCTTAGCATCACAGTGAGGCCTTGTTGATAGGCACACATAGTTACATGAAACACAGGTCTATTCATCAGTAATTTATTCAGTCACCGTCATCTCTGTAATGTCCTTGCTCTAATACACCATTGGTAGAACACAATTAGGTACTGAGAAAGAAAATGTTGTAATCGATTCCCCATCACTTTGGCAGAGTTCCAACAATATTCTTCCACACCCTGATCCAGTAGAGATATTAGATGGATTGCTGTATTGTACTTGCATTTGAAATTTCTTCCTCTGTTTTTACTCTGAATTTTTATGTTGTAGCAGCTTGTAACATCGTAACATTGATTGATGTAAGTAACGTATTATCGCTTCATCTGGGTTTATTCCATTAGTGCTATCAACATTAGTATTCAGTCTAAAGGGATACAAATATTTCAAGAGCTGTCTGCATAAGCTTGTCTTATTTTGAGGACATTGCCTCGCGCCTGGTTCCAAGCTCCTTCTGCAGTCTCAACATGGTGAAACAGACCCTGACATGGAGAGCACATCTCCAAATCTCAAGAAGTCGCTCCTGATCTGAGTGGAGGCTCTTCAGGTTCCCAGAGCCTCAAAGTAAGTCTTTGAGGATCAATGAAGTAGGTCCAAGAAGCTGGTTAAGATCCCACAGGGGCTTCTGGCAAAATGTATGCAGATATCTGGACAAATGCGTGCTGTGCTTAGTTGGCTACTCGGGTGTTACCAGGAGTTTCTCTACCTGATTCTGTCTTTGGACCTCTCTGGGTCTTTGTTTCTTCATATGTAAAGTGGAGCCCTGGGATCTAGCAGGGAAAATGAAGTTCTTTCTCCAGTGTCAACTCCCATCAATAGAGATGGCTCTGACGCTGTGTTGAGAAGGTTGTGAAGCCCTGTCCAGGCTCCAAGAAAAAGAGTGCTGTGATTGATTAGCAATGTCTGAGGGAATAAGAAGGGGGCCTGGTGGGATGTCTACAATGTACTTGGAGACCTTGGAGAAAATCAGTATGATCCCACTGTATTTCTTTTTTTTTTTTGGTGAGGAAGATTCGCCCTGCACTAACATCTGTTGCCAATAATCTTCCTTTTTTTTTTTTTTGCTTGAGGAACATTAGCCCTGAACTAACTTCTGTGGTCAATCTGCCTCTTTTTCTTTTTTCTCCCCAAAGCCCCAGTGCATAGTTGTGTATCACAGTTGTAGAGTTGTAGCTGTTCTATGTGGGACACCAGGCCTCAACCTGGCCTGGTGAGCGCTGAGTAGGTCTGCGCCTGGGATCTGACCCGGCAAACCCTGGGCTGCTGAAGCGGAATGCACGAACTTGACTACTATACCACCAGGCCGGCCCCTCCCCCATATTTCTATTAGCTGTTATTAATTTATGGTGAGAGGGTTGAAGACTTCTTGTCCCCACTCACAGCATTTTGGTCACTCATGATATCTGTTGATTTCTTACCATGTATAAAGCTCAGAGGATAGTTATTCAGGAAATACAAAGATGTAAGAGATGGTCATTACCTTCAAGCAGCTTAGAGTCTAACAATGGAGACAAGACTGATGTTTAAAATACTAGAAACAAAGCCATTTGTGACAAGTGTCCCAAGAGAGGTACATCCAAAGGAGTAAAGGGGCTCAGAGGAAAGAAGATGTTACTTCCAATTGGATTAATCAGAAAAGGTGAGTCTTGCAGTACAGGGATTTTTTTTCAGGCGGAATTGAGCGGGGAGGTAGAGCGTTGTGAGAAGAGAAAAGAATTACTAGTTCACAAGGAGAAAATGCAACAGGGCGGGACCAGGGAGAGGCGCATGAGGCATGTAGGGCACAAAATGTAAGGAGGCGCTTGCACAACCCTGAGAATGAACACCTCCTTCAATTTTGCGCCCAAGGCGCCTTATCTCCACACTCTACACCCTGAAATACAAGGAATCCAGGAAGAATGGGCAATGCAAGGGTGATAAGTACTAGGGAAGAGTTGGAAGTTGAGCAAGAAAAGTAGGCAGGAGGTAAAGTTACAGCGGGTGGATCTTGAGGACCTGAGGAGTGTGGATTTCATTTGGGAGGCCAAGAGACGGCTGTGACTGCAGTTTACCTATGAAGATTATTCTGGTAGGAGAGCAGAGAATAGACCAGGATTCAACAAGCAAGCAAACTTCAGAAGGAAGAGAGGGGCAGGGAGAGCTGCTGGGAAGCGATTGTGCTGGCCCAAGCATGGGGCAATCAGGGCTGGAAATACACGGTGGCCATGGGAGTGAAGAGGAAGGAACACATGCAAGAGAAAATTTCAAAGAATGACTGGATTTGGCAACCAGTTTAATGTAGGGTAAGGAGAGCAAATAAGAGAGAGGAGTAAGAGTTGAATGCAGTAATCTTTAGGGAGAAGAAAAAGATACAGTGAAGAGAATCCCAGTGAGAAGAAAGTTTTAGGATTGATGAATTGGGAGACAATGTCAGATGCTACAGAGGATAAAGACTTTGGCTCCTGAGGAGAGTCAAGTGATTTGTCAACAGGACCTGGGAGAGAAGTTTTAGGAGAGTTCTGGAGGCAGGAAAGACTACAGTCAGTCTTCAAGGGGTTAAGGAATGAGTTATGGGGAAGTAAGGGCAGAGAATTCAGATTAGTCCTTTGAGAACTCTGGTGGTAAAAGGAAGAGATGAGATTGAGATGATTCCTGTTTACATGATTAAGAAAATATTTTCTCTAGGTGATCCAATCTGTTTGTAGCAAGAGACGAAGAAGCTGGTGGAGAGGGAGATGCAGGGGAGATGGAGGGTGGCTGATGAGGGGGCAAATGGGAAGAGTGGAGAGTCCAGATGGAGGGGTGACCCAGGGAAATGAGGGGAGAAAGTGGAGGCAGAAGAAGAGAGATTCTGCAGTTAAGGTGGGTCTCTGCAATGGCTCCTTGACACCAACATCTCTCCTTCCGTCCTTTCTTCCCCTCCTGCCCCTGCACACACTGGTCCCTTATGTCCTACTTTCTGGCTTCCTCATTCAAAGAAGAAGGGCACTGCCTTCTGCATGGACTCACCCAAACCTTGAGAGGGTCTCACTTCCGCCTGCAGTTCGTGTACCTCTCAGCTGAGGGTGATGAGGGTCACAAGGAGGAGGAGGCCTCCTAACTTCATGTTGCTTTTGTAGGTTTAGTAAAAATGCAGCGGTGCTGAGAACAGTGAAAATTTATGTGCTTCTGCCCACGGAGCTGTAATGCAAATTCAGGAGTGGGAGGGACTAGGGACTGGAGAGCCTCAGCCCTGCCCTTGACTAACACCTGGAGAATGCACACTGTGTGTACCCTGGGTAATGCCACCTTGTTACCTAAGCAAGTGTCTGAGGCAAGGGTACATCCTCTTCTGACCAACAAATAAGACCCCTAAACCAGGAAAGCCTTGAGTGACTGAGAAAGGGGGGGGGGATAGACACTAACTTTTATTATGTACGTTCATTCACCCGTTCATTTTTCAATGCAAGTAACAAATGTCTTCTCTGTACCAGGCACCTGCTAGGCATGAGGAATACGTCCTTATAGACATTACAACCTAGGCATTGGGTGCTGGCTGGTAAGGGTGCAGTTGGTTCTTCACTTCCCCCCACCCTGCTCTGGGCCCCAGCGCCTCTGGTACTGAGGGCAGAGAGAGGAGGAGGAGAGCCAGCAGGGGTGCTCCTAGGTCACCTGCTAGTGATGAGGAGGTGACCTTGGTCTCCTTCTGGCTGGTCTGATTCTCTCTATCGCTGGGCACCTAGGCAGGTGCAGTGGTCTTTGCCTATAGGACACATGTAAGTTTCTGGGGATGGAGCTGCACTTCATCTTGTCCACCTTCATTTCTGAGAACCCCAACTCTCGATATCCATGTTAAGCTCTTCTGGGATGTCTCTCTTCATGCAACACTGGGACGGGGGTGGGACGGGGCTGCAGTCACCAACCAGCAGGGGAGTGAGATTTCATTTCCCCCTTCTTGTGGGCACTCCTCATCTAGATGAGTGATTTTCTGAATCACACACTCCCCTTGGTTTTTTGGAGAAATATGCCCCCTTCCCTCCCCAATGGCAGCAGGGATGGAGGAGGCATGTATAACTTTTGGCCATGAGTACTCTGTCCCATAAGATGTCTTACTTCATGTGAGATAAGGATGACTGGGCTGTTGGGAATGGCAGGACCAGTCTGCAGCCTCTTCATAAGGCCCTGGGGAGATGGTTGACTTCTCTTCAGAAACTGGGATACTTGATGTTTCA